ATGTATATATATACACACACACACACACACATGTATACTGGCAGTATACATTTATTTAGTATCTGCATCTGAAATTTCAGTGAGGACTGGGTAAAATATCAGACACCTTTAACTTTTTTTTTTGGAGAGATTTTCACTGTAGGGCGCGTGCGCTCGCCAGACAGACAGAGAGAGACATAGAGACAGAAAGCGAGAAATCACCCCCCAGGGGGGATGGTCACGCCGCAATCCCTTCTCCTCCATTCTCCTCTCGGGATCTTGGGCACACGCGCCCAGCGTGAGTTTTAAGCCACCGGGTCCGGGACACGAACCGCGGTCGACTACATGGGAGTCCAGCGACATAGCCATTACGCTAACTGCTGGTTCCCCAGACACCTTTAACTTTTTGAAACAGTGATATTAAAACCTTATGCTTTTTCTTTTTTTTTTCCTTTGGAGAGATTTTTGTTATAGGGCTTGTGCACTTGCCAGAAAGACAGAGATAGACAGAGATAGGGAGCGAGAAATCACCGCCCAGGGGCGACGGGCGGCCGCAATCCCTTCTCCTCCATTCTCCTCTCAGGATCTTGGGCACGCACGCACATGCGCCCGGTGTGAGTTTAAGCCACCGGGTCCAGGACTCGAACCGTGGTCAACTACATGGGAGTCCAGCAACATAGTCATTACACTAACTGCTGGTCCTAAAACCTTATGTTTAATACAAATTTTGAAAAAACATATCCTCTTGGACATACTTTATGTTGACATCTAAAATTTGGCTCTCAGTAAATGGCTGTATTCATATATGTAATATATTGGGTTATCGGGAATGTCACAATGCATTTTTGCATAGAAAAACAGAAAAATACATTGTAACTTTCCCGATGACCTAATGATAGATAGATAGATACATATGCACATATGTACTCTAATTAGTGGTCAACCAAGTGGTAATTATCCATCAAATCTGGGTTTAACGGTGGTCATTTAAAATAAGCATCAAGTCATTTGTTATGAATCTTGGCTCTTTATAAATCAAATTCTTTCTTATTCTTAGAAACTAAATATTGTGCTGACAAATTATTCTGCTTTAAACCTAGGTGCACTCCAGGTTAGATAGCTGGATTACTTATTTAGTTGTTTTTTTTGACACTTGAGCTAACTTTTGAAAATGTTTTTTTATGGATTTTTATAGCAGTTGCTTCTAACATGGTATAAGTGATCCTGGGTCATCCTAGATACGTGTCATTAATAGGGCAGTAGGTGGTTTTTGCCTACATGACATTCCAGGTGTTTATTGGCACTGCTGATGTGCAGGCAGTCGTTAGAAATGGATAATGAACCTGTTCAGATGAACATACGAAGCAAAGTTAGCCTGGAATGACCTCGGCAAGTGGGAATGACTGAACGGTGTCCTTGCAGTTTGTAACACAGACATGCTCTCACAAGTGGGGTCGATCAGTACATAGTGCCTCGGAGCAGATCCATGGATGCAGTTACTGAGAAGACACAGATAAGATCTTACCTTTCATTCCTGTCTCTTGATGGGAAAGTTTAAAGTAAAGAATTATTAACTCGAACAGGATTAGCTAACAAGTGATTACTGAGTAAGAAAAGGATAGTTCCGAAGAATACAGGGAAAGCATCATAAGATAGAAACTCCAAAGAAGAGTCTCCACTGCGCCCCAGGGCCGAGATGCAGAACCTGATGGAGGTGGCACAGCTGTGGTTCACTGGGTGTACTGTGTGCTGTGCTGGCAGAATCTGCTGGAACTTGCTGGGCATCAGCCCTGGGTACTGGGATAGCTGTTTATGAGGAGGTGTCTGGCTGGAAGCACTGCAGTGCAGAGGCGTCCAGGACGGGTGTTGGCAGAAGCTGCTGCCATGTGCATTACACGAACTGGCTCCTGGAGAAGCCGGGCGCACACAGGAGTCTGGGACCGGAGAGTGCCTCAGGTGCCACCGAAGCCCACCAGCGGCACATTTGCTTCCTGCAGTGTCTCTTCAGCACCCTCTGGGAACAGAGCCCAGCACTGCACCAGCTATTAGAAGGGAGAGTAGTATGTAAACGGCCGGGTTTCACAGAGCTCACAAAAACGACTGTGAATTTGAGCAATGATTCAGTAACAGGAGCAGCCCGACCTTCTGACTACTTGACTTCGTGTCTTACCTTTCCATGCACGTTGGGACTTTTTATGCAATAAGAAACCGTATTTCTACCTATCAAGGGAATGGCCATTCTTACAGTGGAGGCCTCTCATCCTTTTCCCAGAACGAGCAGATGCACGTTCTCTAGAGTCATCGCTAACTGTCCTGTTACTCCATTTCAGCCTCCGTTACACTGAGCATTCTCTGGTGTAAAAACTGAGTTAATTGCGGGTTATTTTCCAGTAACTAGTATATGAAATAGAAATGAGAAAGAGAAGTGAAATGTTCAGCACACAGAAATAAGCACGTATATAAGTGAAGCAAGTAGAAAATCCACAAAGTGACTAGACCTTCTTTCTGAATCTGGTCCCAGGCTGTAACTGGTCACTGTGGCTTCCTTCTTCTATGACCCATTCCATATGTTCCTGTCCTCGGCTGGAACTTGAGCTGATTAGAACTTGGTAGAGTGACTCAAGCCTGCATTGCTAAAGCGTGGGTGTCCTCGGTTGTCCTATTCTGGCTCTTGTAGCGTCTGGTGACTTTGATGCTGGGCACGGAGGTACTGAGATGTGCAGTCCCCATGCAGGTGTCACAGGGTTCCCAGCAGAGGAAGTGCGGTCCATGGTGGCCACTGCCATGGGTGAGAGGAGACCTAGAGTGGTTTGGGGATTCAGGATTATCATTGTCACCTGATTGAATCAGAGGTCCCCATTCTAAGTTTTACAGTCCCCCTCCCCTTTTTTTAGAGAATTTTTAAAATTTTATCTTTATTTATTTTATTTTAATTTGACCAGAGAGAAATAGAGTGTGTGTGAGAGAAATAAGGAAAGTGAGAAAGCAAGCCACCAGGTCTGAGGCTTGAACCGCAGTCAGCCATATGGGAGTCCAGCACCCTTACCCGACCACGCCACCTGCCAGCCCCACAGTCCCATTTTTAACTAATCAGTGATATAACCTTTGAAAAATTTGATGAGAAGGAGAATTAACTCTCTTTAATTTAGCAGTATACACAATTACATTTTTACGATTAATTACCTGAAGAGCTGCCTTTTAGGCTGTCAGAGATGCTCACTGGTTCTCATGTGGTGTCTTAAGCTGAGAACAAGCAGACCTGGATTTGTCATTTTCAGTAGGTGCACACGGGCCCTCAGAATAATCCATCCCACATCACAGCTCAGGGCAGTACCACCATAAGGTCAAGTGCAGCCGCTACCTGGACTCCCAGAACATGTGCCTCGGCTGGCACTTCATCACAGCAAGCCACGGTGATTCTGACTCAATGTGAAGCCATTACAGGCCAGGGTTATTAGTGCCCTGGTTCCCGTCTGCAAGGAGCTTAGCACTCAGCTGAAGCCCGGAGGCTCACATACCCTGAATCCTGTCCTTGGAGGTGTATGTCTTGGGACCACTCCTGATACTAATTCTCTGTTAGTCTGCACTCGGTCACATTAATTCCTTTTTAATTTCCAGAGAGCTCTCGCACTCCCCAGGGAGGGAAGGAGAAATGCCCCTGCCCACACCATGGCAGGCATGGTCACACTAATCCTTTCTCCTCCATTTCTCCATCCTGTTGGGAATGGGGCACCCAGGCACGTGTGCCCAGCTTGTTTTTCAGTCTGCCTGGGCCAAGATTTGAGGCATGGTGGGCCACGTGGGATCCAGCTCCTCAACCACTAGGCTATTGGGACAGCCCTAGTCTGAGTAATTTGAACAGGGAAAGTTGAATGTAACTGTTAGCTGTAAGAGACTAGAATAAGAAGGGATTGGCTAGTAGGAAGTAAACTGAGCCCTAAAAAAATACAGGAATGGCAGATTTAAATGACAGCGTTAGGGCTGAGATAGCGCCCTCTGCTTGCCTACCCCTGTGCTAAGGTTCAGCCCTTGGGAAGACACAACCAGGGCTCACGGAAGTGTTTATGGTACTGTGCTGCCAGAATTTGCTGGAATCCGCCCTCTGGGGCACCAGATGACCTGTTCACAGAGAGGTACTGACAACACTTCTTGTTCCAAGACCACCCAAGATGGGTGCCAGAAGGCACTGCTGCCTTCAGCTGGCTGCGGTTGCCCAATGTGGCGAAGTCACTTTCACTGGAGGAGCTGCTGCCGCAGAAGCCGGCTGTGCCCAGGGAAGCCTCACCACAGGGTCCTGCCCAGCAAGACCGAGGGAACCCAGGAGCCAGATCCTCCCCACCCCACCCTGACCGCACCCCAGTCCCCACGGTGTCTCTTCAGCACCTTCTACTGAGAACGGTGACCGCTGACAACACCAGAGGTCATTCTACCAGAAAGGAAACATTTAAAAAGCCCAGTTCTGTTTTCATAGAACTGAAATGAAAGTTGAATTTGAAGCTGAGAGGCAAAATTCAGTTACTAGCTCACTGCTTCTCTTTTTTGCATTATCTCTGCAAATCTGGAGTTGAATTTGGTGGTCGATGGTATTAGCTGTGTTTATTAGCTTGATCATGAGCCATTTTTGCTTTTTCCTTTTTTAGTCCTCATTTTGCTTTGGGCTTGGCCCTATCCTATATTGTACGTATCTGAAATCCTTTGGGGAAAATCCGTGCAACTACCTTAGGAGTTCAGGAAGAGTATGTCTGACATCCAAAAGAACACAGTGGCAGCTGTCAGGCAGAATTACCTCCTGCACGGGAAGCCTGCTTGGTTGTTTTATAGTAAAAGGTACTATTTTAACCATTTTTATGTGTACAGTGCAGTGTCATTAGGTACATTTCACATACTTATAAACAGGAGCGCTCCATTTTCCCGTTACCAGCCTCAAGCAACCACCATTCTGCTTTCTGTCTCTGCTTTAGGTATAAATGGAATCAGATGGTATTCATCCTTCTGTGGCTGTTTACTAGCGTAATGTCTTCAAGGTTCACCATGTTACACCCTGTGTTAGAATTCCCTTTTCAAGATGGAATAATACTGTCTTTGTTTATTCTGTTAATCCAGTTATTCATCAGTGGGCACACTTCGATTATTTCGTGGCTCTTAAGAGTAATGCTGCAGTGAACTTTGGTATGCACATATCTGAGTTCCTGCTTTTTTCCTGTGGACATATCCCCGGTAGAACTGCTAGATTACATAATTCAGTGTTTACTTTTTTGAGGACTTAGCATACTGGTTTCTGTGGCAGCTGTATATTTTCATTCCCACCAGGACAGAAGCCCAATTCTGACAGTTGTTAAATCTCTGTTAACTTTTTCATCTTAACAAAGAAGTATTATGCTAAATTAATGTTAAAGTCTTTCCTAAATCTGTACTTAGAGCATAGTGCTAAGCTGTAAATAGTAGTGACTTGAATGCGGTCACATTTAAGAACGACAACAGTGTGGTCTAGGGCCACTGACAGATTTCCTAGAATTGACAGGCTCTGGAGAGTGACGGGAAACACAGGAAGGGGAGGCAGCAAAGTCTCACTGGCTGCTCTGGTCTAATTAGAGCCAGAGAGGGTGAGAATGACCCACACCAAGAATTCATGTGATCACATGTTCTTTCCATCCTTATTAGAACAGTAACTTCTTAAATGTGTGTGTGTGTGTGTGTGTGAAGTTCATTTATTCCAAAAATAGAAATTGCACCCAATAGGGCCCCCATGCCACAGTCCACTCCTTGTCTTCAGCCAGGCCCTGGGTAGTATGTACCTGGCATTCCCGGGGGCTGGAGGGGTCCCTCCAGATTGCCTCACAGAGCATCACGTTTTATTGGTGTCTCTGCCTGCCCCTAGAATAGTAACTATACAGACACTCGAACCCCTAAATGAGGTTCAGAGCCCAGATGACCTCGTGACACTGAGCTTGATCCTGTGAGGGCCAACCCTGTGCTAGCTAGCAGTCAGTGGCGCGCAGGAGTGCTTCTGCCGCCATACCTGGAACGTTACACCCTTCTGAAGACAGAACTACTGTGGGCCTGAGGGTGGTTATTGACACAGGGTGGACTTTTGTTTTACTTGTAAAGTGTAGGGGTGTGTGTGTGTGTGTGTATTTGATGTTTCGGTTTGCTGACAGTGGTGATTCCTTTTTTTTTTTGGGGAGAGATTTTTCACTGTAGGGCGCGTGCGCTCGCCAGACAGAGAGAGACATAGAGACAGAAAGCGAGAAATCACCCCCCAGGGGGGATGGTCACGCCACAATCCCTTCTCCTCCGTTCTCCTCTCGGGATCTTGGGCACGCACGCACACGCGCCCGGCGTGAGTTTTAAGCCACCGGGTCCGGGACGTGAACCGCAGTCGACCACGTGGGAGTCCAGCGACATAGCCATTACGCTAACTGCTGGTTCCCAGTGGTGATTCCTTTTAGAAGGAGGCAAACAAAACAGACGAGAAGGAGGTAGTGCTGGATATAACTGAAAAATATCTGTTTAATAGTTGTCCTTTTTTAAAAGTTCTTCCGTAAGAGAGAGCGAGACGGGCATCCTCACCCCCAGGTTTTCACATCGTGGCCCACCCTAGCCTGAGCCAGCCAGGGTCATGGGCAGAGGTGGGCCTACCGGAATGTATGGAGAGACCTCGGGATGGAAGCATGGGACCTTCCCTGTGGCTGGGTGTTACTGTTGTGCCACTGTAGCCAGCCCCCAGATAGATTTCTGCTACTGTGTTAAGGTGTTTTCTAACAAAGAGCTGTAACATTTCTTTTTCAGACTGCCCTGGCACATTTAGAGTCCCTCGCAGTGGATGTTGAAGTGGCCAATCCACCAGCCAGTAAGGAAAGCATCGATGGTCTTCCAGAGACCCTCGTTCTTGAAGATCATACTGGTGAGGACAGAGTCCATCTGGGATGTGGGATGGCATGTCGCACACCGAAATGTGTGTGGTCAGTGTGCCTGAAGACGAAACGCTCGACTCTTGGAAATGCATTGCATTTTCTTATAAAAGCCAGATGCTGGCAAACTCACATCTAGCAGAAGAATATTTTTATTTTCCCAAGTGATAGACTGAGACAAATGTCCGTGAGTCAGCTTTTCTACAAATGCAGTGTTTATTAAGTTCTAAGCTGTCTAGAAACATCTTGGTCAAAGTCCAGTTCTTCTGTCTTGCATAGATATCATCTACAAGTTAATGTTGATTTCCGTTTGATTAAAATTGAGCCGTGTGTGACAGATGTGAATGGTTGGTTTCAGCTATCGGCCAGGAGCAGTGCTGCCCCATCTGCTGCAGTGAGTACATTAAGGACGACATAGCCACGGAGCTGCCCTGCCACCATTTCTTCCACAAACCTTGTGTCTCAATCTGGCTACAGAAGGTGAGTGTTACATGTACTTTTTAAAAATTAATGCTTTAATACTTTCTCCTGCAAGTTTATGATAATAGTGTCTGTTAAGCCTGGACCGTTTGTAGTAAATCTTAAGTAGGTGTTCAAAACTGTTGCGTTTAATAGGGATACTAGGGAACCATTTTGCTTCACTAACTGAAAAACAGCATAACAGTGATTATGTAACATTTTTAATCACTTTAACAAGTGATTAAATATCTGGAAAGTTATTTTAGAATAAAGCCAATTATTCCTTTCACTATAACCCTGAAATTTAGTGTTTCCAAAAGTATCTCAAGCAAAACAGCTTGAAAAACCTCAAAGTACTCTAATATTGCACAGGTACTCTGCTAATGCGGGTTCCTGTTTCTGAAATGTGTATGAGAGAGATTTAATAAGCCACCGGTTTTTTTTTTTTTTTTTGAGAGATTTTCACTGGCGCGTGCGCTCGCCAGACAGACAGAGAGAGACATAGAGACAGAAAGCGAGAAATCACCCCCCAGGGGGGATGGTCACGCAGCAATCCCTTCTCCTCCATTCTCCTCTCGGGATCTTGGGCACGCATGCACACGCGCCCGACGTGAGTTTTAAGCCACCGGGTCCGGGACACGAACCGCGGTCGACTACGTGGGAGTCCAGTGACATAGCCATTATACTAACTGCTGGTTCCCTAAGCCACCGGTTTTTATATTTGCTTCCTATTTCTCTAGTGAGAGATTTTCACTGGCGCGTGCGCTCGCCAGACAGACAGAGAGAGACATAGAGACAGAAAGCGAGAAATCACCCCCCAGGGGGGATGGTCACGCAGCAATCCCTTCTCCTCCATTCTCCTCTCGGGATCTTGGGCACGCATGCACACGCGCCCGACGTGAGTTTTAAGCCACCGGGTCCGGGACACGAACCGCGGTCGACTACGTGGGAGTCCAGTGACATAGCCATTATACTAACTGCTGGTTCCCTAAGCCACCGGTTTTTATATTTGCTTCCTATTTCTCTAGTCATTTAAAAAACATATCATTTACTTAAGAAAGACTCTTCTTCCTGTTTTTCTCTGCATACCCCGTTTTTGCATAGTCCATTTCCTCTTGAGTTCAGTGACGGTTTCCAAGTCACTCTCCTGGCCAGCGGTTACTGTGGCTGCAGCACCTCTTCCCAGAGCGTTGCCCTCCCCTCGCCCCTCGCGAGCCCCTTGCCTTCCTCGCCTCTCGTCTGTCCTTCTCCCTTCATGGCTGTCCTTCACCTTTTCTGCCACTTCTTGAAACATTATTCGACATCTCTGAAATGCAGTGTGAAAACTCTCACTGCTCAATTACGAAATCAAATGCATGGCTAGCCCTTAATGGCTGTCTCTGGTTTACATCTATGCGAATCTGAGTTGTGGTTTCGTGCTTTACGTTTACATGTGGCTTGCGTGTGTCTCCCTTTGCTGCAGTCTTCTGCCTTCTCTTCAGTTCCCTTTTCTTCCTCTTCCTCACTGCTGCTCCCCCAATACCCACAGTGACCAGTTTCCATGTAGGAGTGTAAAAGTAACCTTTTACTTCTTCCCAGTTGCTCAGTCCTTATACAACTGTGGGAGTGGGGTTCATGTTTTCAGTTATTATTTTTAAGAGGACCGTGCTATGTTTTTTTTCTATATCTGTGATTTTTCACAATTTCTTGGGCAATATTTTTTCTATTTGAACTTTACAGTTGTTTTATCTATTTTGTTCTCTCTTCAAAAAAAGAATTCATTTTAGGATTTTAATTATGAACCCATTAAACCTATCCATTATTTTTAGGGGATTGCTCTACCATTATTTTTAGAGCTTACTTGGGACTCAGAAATGCTTATGTGAAATAATGCATTAAGGTCAAACGTAAATCTGTTGGTGCTGCATCTTGGTTGTCTTTCAACTTACTTCATTTGTCACGTGGCACTTGTGATGACCCACGTAACACGGAATGTCGTGAGAACTGACTGAGATGACGGGAGGGCCTGGCAGAGAGTGAGCGCCCAGAGACTGCTAGAAAGATCGTAGCCCGTCACAGTGGTTCTTCGACGTCCCAGGCATTTCTCCTTTATTAGTAGCAGAATCACAAGCACGAACCTCATTTATGATGCAGGTTACAAAGGCCAGCTGCCGTCTCCGTGAGCGTGCGGCCGCCTGATTGCGGTGTGATGAGTGTGGCCTGAGAGCGGAGAGCACACACGCTCAAGCCCCTGAGACTTCCTGGCATTCTGTGTGAAGCTGTAATCCTGGATTCCGAATTCTTTTTAAAATACTCCTTTCTTTGCACTCTCTTCTCCCCTGAACCCTAGTTTGGGGAATAGTGTTCTGGATGATTTTCTCAGCCTGTTCCGTCGCCTTACGTTCATACAGCCCCGATGTCTGTGTCACACAGTCTGCTCACCGCTGGGGTTTGTGTAAAGGTCCAAGTGGAAACTTCATAGTGAATTGTATATATTGTGCCTGGCACATGGAAATGCACGGTGTAGGAAGAAGAGCAGAGATGAAGTTAGCACAGAGTGCAGCACCTGTTCACAGCGGTGGTGGCAGTGGTGCCAGTAGGCCGGGAGGTGTTACTAAGTTGGTGGGCCACAAAATGCAGAGCCGCACGTCTGAGCTTGAGGACTGTTCCCTCCTTCACTACCGTGGTAGGTACCTCCCTCGTTTCCTTGCCTTCGATAGAGGTATTTTCTAAATTGTAGTCCTGATCACACTCTGTCTCTTCTCAGGGGAGAGAGAGAGAGACATTTCCCGTCACCTGTGGAGCAGTTTTTTCTGGCCTTGGTGGCCTTCTGTCATCTAGCCCCAGCCTGTCTTTTCACACTCACTCTTCAGTCCACTTGCTCATACTTTCATACATTTGCTCATGCAGCATGGCAGGGTCTTCTCCCGCTCACATCTGTAGGATTAGATGCCGTGGGTATAGACCAGCTTTGATTCCACCTCTCTGTCCTTAGTATGCCCTTTCTTTATGCTTCCACAGTCATTTCAGGACTTAGGGTGCAGCCAGTCTTGTGCCTTCTGTGCCTCAGGTACTGCTAGGTGATTCTCACAGTACCTCTAGACAAAGTGGTGTCCGTAGGCCCATGTTCCAGCGAGTGTTAGTGTCTGAGCTAACAGAGCTAGTGTGTAGCTTGTGGTCGGCCGAGCCCACACTCATCTAGCTGACTGCATTGTTGCTGTTGGGGTCCATTCTGTATGGTAAGTATGCAGTTTGCTGAATTGAATTTACGGAAATTATAAATATTGTACAAAGGATTTTCAAAGAGTTCATGGGAAATCATTGTTATGAAAAAACTATGGATTGATTTGGAAACGTTTTTGCACCAAAATAATCTTGTACTTTAATTCTGTGTTTCCAAACTTTATGAAGCCCCCTCATAGATGGTGGAAACCCATGAGTTGCACTTGACGTTGCTGTAGCTCAGGATAACGATCTCTTCAGTCTCTCCTGTCAGGAAACAGCTTAGTATGAAGCCTTCCTGGTTTCCTATGGGCCGAGTGTTCCAAGATGCAGTTTTTTGTCACCTTTACAACATGATCTCCTTAGTCTCCCTTCTGTCGGGAGAACCCCCTGGAAAAAGGCCAGACTTGCGAGGACATCATCTGCCACGGGACGACGCATCTCTGTAATCTGTCATTGGTCCCTAGATGTTGGAGTTCAGTATAGCCACTTCTCCCTCCCCAGCTCCCCTTCTAAGTCCACGGGGGATCGCATTGGCATCGAGAAGTCTTCCTAACTCTGGATCTCTTTGTGGAAAGAGATTACATGGTTATAGAGAAGAGCTGAGGTCCCTCTGCTCGTCCATATCATGCTAACCTGAGGCTCTAGTGTAATGAGGGAGGTCCTGGGGGGTGATTTGGGAGATGAGTAGGTAGTCAGCTAGTCTCTGGTCTCCCAGAGGTGAGCGTGATACAGTAGGTGATGGTAGTTCAGTGCAGGCCACTGTTGGGCTCACCTCTGACCTTCCTGAGGACATGCACCACGATTCCTGGCTCACCCTCCCTCCCTCACCAGAACCACGTGTGGAAGCTTTTCATTGAAACTCACCAAATGAAAGATGAGTTACCTTAAAGGTACAGACAGAATGAAGACTTGCCGTTGACCCTCAAAGAAATTAGAGTCTAAGTAAAGTGCAGAGAAAATAGCAGTGAAATTTTGTCTTTGGAATTGTGTGGTTTTGAAGCTTATTTGTTCTTTGCTTTGAAGGTGCTTGATTTTGTTGTTAGGATAACGATATTTCTTTTATTTTGTAAGATAGTGTGCGACAGTTAAAATGTTTCTGGCGGCTCCTGACTTGTTTTTCTCCCCAGTCGGGAACGTGCCCCGTGTGCCGCCGTCGCTTCCCACCTGCAGTCGTCGTCGAAGCATCCGCAGCTGCTCCCTCCGAGACCGATCCTGACGCCCCACCTTCCAGTGACAGCACCACGGGAGCCCCTTAATCCTTAACAATTCAAATGGATCATTCTATCAAAGTAAATCTGCAAATTCCTTCTAAATCTGATGTGCAAATAATTATATATAAATATATTAAAAATGCTATATATAGTATATGCCACAGTTTAGAAAGAGAACATTAACCTTTCTAAACCAAATTTAGGTTTGCAGAAAGTACTAACATGTGCAAGCTGACTGTCGAAGCAGTGCATCCGTCGTCCTCAGTTAAGTATGTTGGTGTTGATTGTGAAGCCAGGCTTGTCAGCTGACTCTCCCCGGGGGCAGCCACCATGTGGCCCCTGTTGCTGGCGGCATCTAAGCGCTGCCACCATTCAGCCCTGTTTGCGGCAGAGGTCGGGACTGTGCTCACACCAGAGTAGGGTTTGCTTTCATTGGAAAGAAATTCTAAAGTGTGTGTGTGTGTGTGTGTGTGTGTGTGTGTGTTTTGGAGTTTTTTGTTTGTTTGTTTTGTTTTGTTTTTTTATTGATAACCTTTACTTTTGCCCCGTCAAATCCTCTTGGTTCAAAAGTACTATGAAGATTTTTAGAGAAGATGTCTGCTTTTTCCATCTTTGTTTAAAATTAGGATGTGTGTGTGTGTGTGTGTGTGTGTTTTGGAGTTTTTTGTTTGTTTGTTTTGTTTTGTTTTGTTTTTTTATTGATAACCTTTACTTTTGCCCCGTCAAATCCTCTTGGTTCAAAAGTACTATGAAGATTTTTAGAGAAGATGTCTGCTTTTTCCATCTTTGTTTAAAATTAGGACTTTTGAGAATGCCAAGCAAAAGCTAAAACTTTGGCCAGATCATCATTACTTTGTAAAACCTTAGATATGACCCCCCTGAGATGGTCAGGTAGTAAAATACATTATTTAATGAAACAACTGGTAACGCTTAAAGTAAGGCTAGTCATGCAATACAGAAATCTGATGGACTCAGTGCTGCGTGTAATGGATGGCCTTAGGAAACCCTTTCTTCTGAGCTCTTATTAAACCTGTCCCACCTTGGTTAAAACTATACTTGAAAGTCCGGAACCCTCATGGCACAGTTGTTTAAAAGTATTGGATACAGATCGTTTAAGGCGATTTTAGTTCTGACCTGTTTGGAAGGCCTGAAAACGTGTGTCTGTGTAATAACCCCAGACTGAAATGGCACAGCTTCTCCTTCATGATCACACAGTAGACAGGGATGTGGCGTGGCACGTGGGCGTGGCTGCTCACTCACAGGGCTGAGGTGATGTTGACACTAGGGAATGGTTGGCAGAGTGTCACATTTGAGCAAGTAAAATAGTAAAGCACATAGTGAATGTATATCCATCCACGTGGTCCATCAGTAATTTAGTTTGGACACATAAAAGGAATGTTTAAACAGCTTCCCAAATGTGGAATTACATTTCATTTATGTAAGTTCTCTGAGAATTTATATTTTGAATCCTTTCTCCATTTTTAAAAATAAATGAATTTTCACGGTTGGCACATTTGAGGCTTAAATGTAAGGAACATAACACTTGCATTCTAATTTTTGCATATATTGTAAATGTGTCTGGTATTTACAACTAAAATACTGTGTATCCTTTTATGGGTAAAACCAAATGAACATTGCATGCATGTAATGTGGTGAATTTGTAATTTAGGGGATCTTTGGGGCTTCTGTGACTTGGGAAATGCTTCCATTCAGGCCTTAATGTTGCATTAGCTAGCATGTTTTCCTTCTGATGTATATAGTCTCTGTTGTATAAACTAATCTTTGCTCGTTTTCTACTCTGTTCTCTCCCCATCCCATATTTCATTGCTGATCAGTTAGTGTCAGGGAGTCAAATCAGATTAAAATTAACTCTCATATGTATATTGTGGAAATTCGTGGCTAGTGTGATTTTTTGGTTAGTTTGTCTCCTCCCAAGTTCCATCGATCAGTTGTGACACTTGGCTCAACGCACAGTGCTATGGCTTTCCTGGAATAAGCCACTCATTATGTTGAGGCAGCACTACGGGACCTTGGTTTTCTTCTCCAAGATAGCAGCTGTCCCAAAGAAAATATTTCTTCTTTCCTGTTAAGATTTAGCTATTATCTGCCAGTTGTTAAGAGGTTTTGGTTCCAAACTCAACCAGCAGTGTTGAGAGCTGACTTCAAGATGGCTGTTGTACTTTTCGCTTCCCATCTGTTACCGTCCTTCATTCTTGGCTCCCTCCTGTCTACAAACAGCTGCTGTGAAGGAGAAAAGTTGAGTAAGAGTTGGCTTGAATTAAAAAAAGAAAACTGAGGTTTTAGGATCTTCGAGCTAACAAGCTGGTATAAGCTGACACCAAAATATTACTTAATCATATCTTGGATCCTCTTGAAAAGCTAAGAATATATTAAGGTAAATTAAAATATGGCTATTCAATAAAATATTGTTTATCATATTTCCCTATTTTATGTTATGACTTGACCTAATAATTTTATTTTTTAAAACATTTTCCTGTTTTCTTGTAATATGAATGCTGATATTTAATGATAGATCCATGTGGTTTTCTTTTGTGTTTCTTAATTGTTTATTTCTGAGCTAACTCTTAAGAGTATTTGTGATCTGGATTTATACATAAACTGTTAAATATATATGAACTGTTAAGATAGAATGCAAGTTTTTCAAAAGCCCAGGTCTAAATGTAATGACTGGTCAGTTGTTCTACAACCCCAGCACATCGTTTTCCATGTAAATCATAAACAATAAACAGGATGTACTCGGTGGTCATTTCTGACACTTACTGATTACCCTGTCACACCCGTGGTGTAACCCCGAAGGACTTGGAGTACATGGCAGAGAGCACAGCTATGGAGGAAGTCTAGAATAGGCCTCTGAGCACATGAAGGATAGCCTTGAACTGTGGTCTCAGAATGCTGTACAGGCGCTGTGCAGAGGAGCTGATGGCTGTCCGGATCCTCCAGGGGCTCTGAAGTCAGCCTCCCCTCTCCTGCCTAACATTCTTATAATCCTGTCGGTTTCAGCAGCGTGGGTTCCGCACTGACTCAGCAGAGCAGAAACCCTCGGGTTCCGGGAAAGGGGCTTACCTTATTTCAAAGGTTTCCTCCAAATCAGGCATGGGACGGTTATCAAGTCTACCTGTTCAAGAAGATTCCTTTTGGCCTCCAAAGGTTCAAAGTCCTCCCTTGTTTCAGCAGCTCACTTGAGTACTGATAGGTTTCATGCCCACATTAAAAATAAAAACTGGCCAGCTGGTGGCGTGGTGGTAAAGCACTGGACTCCCACATGGCTGATCATGATTTGAGCCCGAGACCTGGCGCCTTGAAAATCATGGGAATTTGTGTGTGTGTACATGCTTAAAATCTCAAGAGGACAGTTTAGGGGAAGGAGTTGTGACGTGGCCATCCCACCTCAGGGGGTGATTTCTCACAGTCCCTGTCTCTGACTCTCTCCTGTAAGCACACGTGTCCATGGCAAAAAAAAATTGCGTAGACATTTTGGGAAGTTCAGAATTCTGACTCTTCCCCTAACAGAATTACCATGTGCCAAAAACAGTCTCAGAGCTAATGGCACACCCCTATAGGGCCAAAATCCTTTCATGATTGCCTCATAATTTTCATCTTGTCCCTGCCAAGGTTGTGCATTTCAAATACCACAATAGTTGAACATGGGAAAATGGAAATGTGACAAAATGAGGCACTCCGATAAGGGATGGATTTTACTGTTACAAGAGAGTCAGCCAGATTTCTGTTGGCTGCACGTGTGTGTAACTAGACAGAACCGTTCTTGTATGTGGGCACCTCTTCATCCCCTTCCTCAGACTTCACATCTTTTCAAAGTCTTGCATGGTATCTGTTCCAGACCTGCCTAGAGTTGGCTCTTTCTCTTCCTCCCTTAAAACATGTGTTCAGTTGGAGCCAGCAGATGGCATAGTAGTTAAGGCACTGGACTCCCACATGGCCGATTTTGGTTCCAGTCCTGGACATGGTAGTTTGAAAATCACGCCTGGCACATATGTGTATGCCAAAAATCCCAGGAAGAGAAGGGAGGTGAAAGGTGTGGGGTTGGGGGGTGGGGGTGATTTCTCACTTTCCCTCCCACTGTCTCTCTCCAGTAGGTACATGTACCCTCTTGCAAAAAAGAAAAAAAAAAAATTGTTTCTCAAACTAAGCACAGTTCTTCTGTGATTCATTAGAGTAGGCTTTAGGGGTAGTATTGCCAGCCTCAAAGTGATTCTCCCATGACTGTCACTGGTGGTGGTTTACTACCAATATCAGGCAAGCTTATCACATTGTCTCCTACTGCACCTTGTCCACTCCTGATCTTTGAAGAGACCGTTTCTTTTTCTTTTTTTTTTTTTTGAATGTATTGTTATTTTTAAGTTTGCTATAGGGCACGTGTGCTCACCAGAGAGAGAGAGGGAAAGTGAGAAAGTAAGCCACCAGATCCAAGACTTGTACTGCAGTCAGCCATGTGGGAGTCCAGCACCGTAGCCACCACGCCATTTGCTGGCCCTGACAATCTCTTCTTAACCTAATTGAAGGATGACTTTCATCCTTATTAAATTGAACACGTAAAGGCCCTTGAGAATTCTGAATCTTCTCTTTAACCTTGGGTCAGTTCCAGTTTAATAAAAGCATGCCTTTGGCATGCTTGGCTCTGTCCAAGTTACAGATAAATATTGAACAGGCAGGAAGACTGTTTCAGAATGCCGCCGTAGACTGCCCTGCAGGCCAGTGATAGGCTAATTAGTACTGTGGGTAGTGCTGTTGCAGAAGCAAATACCCATCCCTTCATATGCTCTGGTTTTTTCAACTTTCCTAAAACACACATCATGACAGTTTTGTCAGACAGTCAAGTACACTGTCTTTGGAAGCAGCCTGATCTGCTAGTGTATGAGATCAAGAAGGTGGGTCAGGTGGGGGTGCCTCCCTCCTCGTGGAACCCCACCACCTCGTTCTCACTGCGCTCATGACATCTGTTTTACAGTCTGCCTCAAAGGTTGGCAAGTGACCAATGTCGAGCTCATTTGAATAGTTCTTGGTGTCTACCTTTTTGCCTTCTCAAAAACCATGAACGTGGATTGCAGGTTTAGTCAGCATTACTGTTTGTGCATAGATAAAGGTTAGGAGAATGCTGTTGTTGATATAGACTGGCGAAATAGGTCACACCGAGTTTCTTTCATTGCTTTTAGCACTGCCTTTTGGAGACTGATGAGCATTTCAGAAAAATATATTACAGATATGTTAATTACCTCTCAGGAGTTGAGAATTTGAAAGAGGGAATTTATTAAAATAGAAACTTGATTTTAAAAACTTTACTGAAAGGTTATAGGCCTGGCTAGCATAGTCATGAAGATGGCCGCAGCTTATTCCCCCTCCCATTTTCTTAGTTTATAATCAGTGTACAGCTTTTATAGTGAAAA